CCTAAACCCTAATCCCCTAAACCGTCCTAAATTTGACTTTGCCATGATTCGGGTCAAGTACGTGTTTGCTCACGTTGAGGGACGGTGCTCATTTCAGATAAATGCCCCCAGCCTGTTCTTGCCGACAAAGCCTCTGTCGAACAAATTGCTACCCTGAAAACCTGTGAGCCCTACAGCCCTAACGTAGGGTGGGAGTTACATATGGACCAAGGGGTCCGTGATTTGGCAAGGTGCCTTCCAGGGCGATTGTTGTAGCAGGGGCAAACGCCTAGATTTCAAAGCTTGAAGACATGGTTTTTACAATCCAGGTGTCAGCATGGTGTAGGGCATAGGATTCAGGGAAGATCACACACGTTGGAAACGATCTTCTGGAATGCTTTGGCTGTAAGGATTTCCATGCACCCCTGAGCAAGATTGTGGACGTTAAGCGTCACTAGAAACCTTTTTTATCGCGCGCTTGTCTATGCAACGTCACCTACCAGGTAACTCCATGAACAACTCCGTGAACCCGCCCTGCTGCTCTTTCCTATAAAACCAAGGAATAGGAATCCTTGAAAGCCACACCTTCCCTAAACAAATGTGAAGAAACACATGGGCAGTTCCCAAAAGGGGTACCCCTAAATATTGTGTGCCGTAATATAATCTATACTATAACCCACATGGGCTCATAATTCTGAGAACAACCCACATCGAGTCCTTGTTAAAAGGACATAAGCCTTTCTAGCGGCTGTATGTTGAGGCTCCATGGCTCCGCGTTAGTGTGGGAAGGGTGGCAAACTGTCAAAGTATGCGTCAACTATTATGGGATCCTTATTGGGGCCCCTTATGTGGAGGACCCATAACTAAGCCTCCCCAAGACCTCCCCAAGGCCTCCCCAAGGCTCCCTAAGGTCCCAAAAAGGTCTCTGGGGCCCCCTGAGGGCTTGCATAAAACGGGTTGCTCGACTTGCAAACCCCAGCGTGACCAACCTTCCGAAAACCACTTACAGAGGCCTGACAGTTTGAGCCCTCAACTGGGTGGCTGTTAAAGAACTGAAATTCAGTTACTACAATAAGGATACCCCATAACTTTCTATGTACCCATATTTTGGTAACTTAAATTCATTCCTAAGAATAGGCTATATGGGTGGTTGTCAAAATTATGGTCCCTTTTTGGGTACCCTAAATATCAGGTGCCGCATTATAATAGGGATCCAAAAAGGGACCATCATTTTGACAACCACCCATATATCCTTAGTATAGTAAAACTCTTTAACAGCAACCCGCGAGTCAACTCTCTTCTGGGTTGCTGTTAAGGAACTTAAATTAAGTTACCATAATGGGTATATATAGTAAATAATAGGGTTTCCCCAATGTAGTAACTTAAACTAACTTCCACAACTCTTCTATTACCACAGTTACCGTTTAATTTCCATTCTCTTTTCCATTCGATTTTCCATTCTAGGGGGATTATTTCGCAACGTTCCTTAACAGCAGCCCAGTCTTACGCTGCGTGCATCTGTCAAGCCTTCTGATTTGGCGGCCTCTGGCCTCCCAAGCGGTCAGAAACTGTTTGGGGTCTTGGGTTTAGGGATTTAGGGTCTTGGGTTAAGGGATTTAGGGTTTAGGGATTTAGGGTTTAGAGATTGAGGGTTTAGGGTTTACGAAGCCATGCTCGACACTCTACAATAGCCCTGAAGCCTAGACTCGACACACTACAACCCTGAAATCTAAAGCCCTAAGAACCCCGCACCCTAAACTCGTAAGACCTTTGACCCTTAGGACCCTAAAATCCTCACACCCTAAGCCCCAAAACCCAGAAACCGTTGGCTAACCTAAACCCTACTGTTGAGAGGTGGTTTTGATCAACAGCGGCGCCACGATTGGATCCGAAGTTGTCCAGCTTTATCTCGGGCTGCTTCGCTGAGCTAAACTACCAGGGTTTAGGTTTAGGGTGTAGGATTTAAGGTTAGGGCTTAGGATTTAAGATTCAGGGTTTAGGGTTTAAGGTTTAGGGCTTAGGGTATATAGGGGAATGGAAAAAGAAATTGAAAACTACCTTGTTGTTAGAGAAGTTAGTTGTACTTGCTTGGAGGGGGGACTTCGGTTCCCCCTGAAAGGCTTAATTATATTTACTGGGGCTTAGTATGGAACAGGGAATACATTGTATAGGGACTATGGAGGTTATATCTTCCTTCATTCCGTAGTATAGAGATCCGTAGCGATATGTATATACAGGGGGTTTGTTTAGGGGCTTAGGGTCAGGGAGCTTTGAGTAAGTAGGCTAACAATGCTGTAGCTGGGTTATTATAGGGCTTATAGGGGTAACAAGTAGGCTTGTTAAGTCCCCGTGTCGCCCCAAATAGTGGAAAAACACCGTGGACACCACTAGATTATAAGGTTTAGACTCATTGGTGCTTGGGGGTAGTGGAAGAAAGAAGAGACCTACTATGTTGTTTAGGATTTAGGGTTACTGCTGCTACAGGGAGAGTGTGGGAGTGAACACAAGTACGAGTATGTGATATATGAGCTATAGTCTAAACTCCTTGAAAGGGGTTATGTGGAGGATTATTTTGGGGAGTATTCTAGGGCTTATTCAGGGGGATACGGAGTTTACGCTATAGCTCATACGGGAGTCTATGGGGTTGCCCTGCATGCGCCCTGCACTCCCGCTTAAGCACGGGTCAGTTAACTACATGTGCTGGCCTTGCCAGACAAACAGAAACATGCATAAGGACTGCTATACATTAGGACCCAGGGATAATGGTATTTATATGATATTAAGGTTTTCTCATATTCCTATTGTGCGGCTACTACAGGGTCGGGGGTCCACCTAAACTACACAGTAGATGTTTTTCGTAGTCTTACAATCATAGATGCTGGTATGAAGTAGTGCTAATCTACACAAGCCTCCCACTGAAATAAACGGCTCTCGGTGGCACGGTCCTGCAAAAGACTGTGTCGCGGGTGCCCTCAGAGGTCGCAAGAGCTTTTTGGAGTTCAGTTGGGCAGCTGTCCTTCCTCATCGGGGGTTCTGGGCGTGCCTAGAAGCGTTTCTGAAGGTGTGATTTTTTTTTTTGGTGAAATTTTCACATAATTGAATTACCAACTTCAAGCCGCCGCTACGGGCATCAACGAAGACCCAGAACTGCGTGATTAAGGGTTTAGGGTTATACTCATACCCAGGCTGCCCCTCTTCCTCACTCCTCAGGCCCTATAAAACCCAAAGCCCTCAACCCCTTCATGCCCAAAACAGACCCCAAGTCCAGAATGATCTTCTGTGGAGATACAGCCAGCGTATGGTTCAAGTTTTAAGTTCCACGGCTTAGACTTCGGGATGTCCACCAACCCATGTCATTTTCAGAGTTGAAGGTTTTTCCCATGAGTGAGGTTCATATAACAAAGGGTTCCTATTGGCGATGATGTACGGGCAAGTTTTTGAACGGTAGCCCGTTGTCAAGAGTGCTTCGTAATTATTCGCCTCCCCCTAACATTAACCTTCCCCCCCCCCCCAATACTAGATACTCTCATTATGTGGTATATTATAATATATTGGGAGTATTTCATATCAAGGGGGTGGGTGTTTAATATTAAAAGGGGGAGGGGGCCCTAAACCCTAAACCCTAAACATTATTCTCTTGACCTTGGCCAAGGTACCCCTCCGAGGCCGAGATGCCACTGAAGCTACTGAGGGGCTTCCAGAAAGCACCCCGGCTCCTTCGGCGGTTTTGGGTTTAGGGGTTTTGGGTTTTAGGGTTTGAGGATTTAGGGTTTAGGGTTTTGGGTTTAGGGTTTGGGTATTGGAGTGGCTTTAGCTTCAGGCTGCATCGGACAATCCAAGGGGAATGCGTTTAGGAAGTTTAGGTAAACTACAAACACAAATCACACACGCACATGCTGTGTTCTTGCATCGAAGGATCCACGTACATTGGAAAGGTTTGAACTTGGGCCAAGACGAAATTCAAGGTTACAATAAAGCCATTGGCCACACAACCCAGGTATAACCATTTTAGGAGACTTAGCGGGGTATGCCTGTGTCCTATGTCCAATTATAATAGGGTTGGAAATCCCCTAAACCATCTATCACCCCACACCCAAACCTAAGCTCCTACTCAAACCCTAAACTCCTAAATCCCCAAAACCTAGGCCCCTTAAACCCAAAACCCTAAACCCAAAGCCCTAAACCCATCAACCCTAACCCTAAAACCTAAGTTACTTTGAACCTCCAAGTACCTTTTCAGAGCTGACAGGCCCAGGAGTGAACTCTTAGGGTTTTGGGTTCAGGATTTAGGGTGTCTGGTTTAGGATGTAGGATTTATGGTTTAGGGTTGAGGATCTAGGGTTTAGGGTTTTGGATTTTGGATTTAGGGTTTAGGGTTTAGAGCAACTTTAGTATTGTCTTTAGTGTAGGAAGCTTTCAAAAAGGGAGCCCCTTCCCCCCCCACTGTTTAGAACCCGAAGCCCTATAATCCACGCTGTAACCCCAGGTTCAATTTCATTTTCCTTCTTCCATTTGATTCTCATGGGGGTACTATCCACAGATCCTAAACCACGCATCGTCCAGATCCCAGCAGCGCACCTAGCTTGCGAACATGACTCCGTCATAATCTAGATTCCTTAAAAGGGGATGATACAGGGGATAAGTGTTTAGGGGTCTAAACTCCTTAAAAGGGGTTGTGAAAGGGATTAGTGTTTAGGGTCGAAACTCGTGGAAAGGGGCCATAATCATAAAAGAGGATTATAAAGAGAGTCCTAAAGGGGTTTACTAAGAGGGTTTCCAGGAGTTTAGACTACTGCTCATAGAGTAGTTTTCCTAAATAAGGGCCCCTACTTTTGGGAAACCCCCATATGTTCGCATACAGGCTTAGTAAAGCCCTCCCCAAGACCCTAGCCGACAGCCGTCCTCAAAGGGCCTCCAGACATGGTATAGTCCCCTTAAGCTGATAGAATATGGATAATGGAAAAGAAAATGGAAACTATGGGGTTATATAGGTGTATATTATTGGGTTATATATAGGGATAATGGAAAAGAAAATGGAAACTACTGTTTAGGGTTTAGGGTTTAGGGTACCCCTTAAGTAGATAGAATATGGCTTTGGGCATATTATCATAAGATCTCCATATACCCCATACTCTATCTACTTAAGGGGACTATAGGGTTTAGGGTTTGAAGTTGTGGTCTCTCTTAGGGCCCCCATTGTAGGATGGCGCCCGGAAGTTTTTGCACCCAAAAAGGGACCAACATGTTGACCACCTACTATATGGGCCTGGGTTCCAGGTTTTTATTTTGGTTTTGTACAACTTTGACGAATTCTTTCGACTAGTTTCACAGTCGAGTGGATTGTCTCAAAATTTCTTGGATGCTGTGACACAATCTCGCCATGGTGTTACCCAAAGGCTTCATGCGGGTACTATTTAGAGACTTTATGGTCCAATGCAGGTTTTGTTTATAGATTACGAGCCCCAGGGTTAGCAGGGTTCCTTGAACATCAGCGAGCCAGCTGCCTCGAGAAGAGCTTGCAGCTGAGAGGCTTCCCGTGTTTGGGTTACGTGGGGATATCCGCTTGTAGTAATCTCAGGGGCAACCGAAACCCTAAACCCTAAACTCTCCATCCAGACTCACGCAAAGCTGGTCTTCTGTCCCAACATGTTTCGTTGACCCTACCCCTTCTGCTGGAGCACAGCAAGGTGACGACAGTCGTGGCCCCTGAGTTTCCGAACGTGAACTCAAAGCACACTTCTGGGAAATATATATGATATACTCCCCACAGATCCTTCTGTTGCCCATATTGACTTCCCCCACTCGCCGGCAAGCACCTGCAACATGCTACATGACATTTGGGGTTCAGGGTTCCCACTCGCGCAAAGGTCAAACTGCAAATGGGGGAGGTGGTCAATCTCCAGCTTCCTCTGACCCAGAAGGAGTGCGGAGCATCTACCCTCCCCCAAAGCAATCTGGAAACTAAAATCAGCCCGTTTTTGAAAGGACTGCGGTTACATAGGGGCCTTTTTCAGCTTCCATGTTGGTTTGGGGGAGGGTGCTGGGAGGTTTGGAGAAAAGGGAAGTCATTAGAGGAGAAGTATACTAACAGCAAGAGCCAGGATGCGTCTCATCCTGCTTATAAGATCTTGTAGGTATTTATGAACTTCAAAGTGTGCATGAGGGTGCATGAGACGCAGAGGTTACCCATATCATGCAGAGCATCGAAAGATCTTGCAAGGACAATCTGGGGTCTAGCTGTCACCTGAAGCCCTAAACCCTACCACCCCTCTGAAACCCTCAGCCCTAAACCCAGAACTAGGTGACTGTCATGTTTGGGAGCCTGCGCGGTGAGGAACCTGCTGGGTCAAAATTGCTTCGGTATTAGTATCATTCCTACTAGTAGTGTAATTGTTATTGTGCTGAAATGAAATAAGGAACATGAAAATGCAAGTAAGTTTCAATGGTATTACAAGATTGAGCCAACTCTAGTATCTGGCGCATGTTGGCCCCCCCCCCCCCCGGTTTGAGCAGATGATGCCGATCTCAACCCACGATAGAGGCATACATCGCTTTGGACAGCCTCAGAAATCGTGGTGTAGTAGGAGGAGTATCAGAGCGGGGACCCAAGCTAAGGCCTAAGTTTCGAAATTGTTGCTTCAGGATGTGGAACAATCGCGCTCAGGCCATCTACTTGTGATGCCCCAGCCCCAAACTCTACACCCTAAACCCTAACAACAAAAAACCCTAAACCACCATACACGATTGCCAGGACATATCTACCTGGTCTCCAGAAAAGAAGGAGAAACTTGGGTGTGTTGGTCGATCTTCTACTTTGTGGAATTTCTCGCGGAAAATTTTCCAGGTTTGGGGGCTTCAAGTGTGGAGTTGTAACCCCCGCCCCACAATAACACCACCCCTAAATTGTAGTACCGGTCTGTATTAGGGAGACTATTTGGAGGGTGTGGGATGGTCTATTAACAGCCCTAGACCTTAAGTTTCCATCTCTCTCTCTCCTCTCTCTCTCTCTCTCTCTCTCTCAATTCCCTGGTTGGAGAATCAGCGCTGAGCAAGCTTTGAAGCTCGCGCTCCTTCTCTAAACCTTAAACCTTAAACCCTGATTACCCTAAACCCCAAACCTTAAACCCTATATCGAAACCCAGAAGCGTCCAGGTCTTCAAGGCCTCAAGACCCTAAACCTGAAGCCCATTTCAAGAGGGCGTCTGTGGGATTTCATGTTTTTTTCTTGAGGATGCGGCTTGCTTTCGCCAGGTTTGGGGTGTCCCAGAGAGCCCAATACCCCTTAATCAAGGAATATACCTCAAATGGTACTAGGGTCACATATGATTTCAGGTCTATTCCTTAATTAAGGGGTATTGGGCTCCCTGGGTTTTTTCCATTCCGTCTTGTCCAAGTGCGTCCAGAAATGAAGCTAATGTGGGCAGTTCCCAAAATTGGGATCCCATTTTGTTACCCCGAGTACTAGTTGCCCGAACTATGTCACATAGCTAAGAGGTGTCCAGAATTGTGAGGACAGCTCATGTGTGGACAACGTTGATGGTGCTTCCATCTTGCTTTGTATTCAGGGTATTCGCATATGTGTCTTTCAGATAGGAGGATAAGGTTAGAGCTGAGCAGGCAAAATAGCAAGTCAGAAGGGGGTCTACTCTCAATCCTTCCATGTGACTCATTTTTTCCATGTATTGCGCTGTCTACAAAAATATATATAATAGCAGGCTAAGAGCCGTTACTCAGACTTCAGGCCCAGTGAGGAGTAATGTAGGTGCCGAAATAAGCCTTCCCCCTCATATGAAGCCCCCGGGTTTCCCAGAATTCCTAAACCCTAAACCCTAATCAGACATCTGCACCCAAGACTGATTGTAAAAGAGCCCAGACTACAGATGATTAGGGCTCGGATCCTCTGCAGTAGGGGGGGCGTCCCTGGTATGACTCTTAAGGATTAGGGGTCTGCTTCATTTCCTAGATTTTAGCGCGATTTTAATTTGCTTTATATTAGGTTCTTAAATCGTGTACGGTTCTAATTAGATCTTAATTAGATTTCAAATGGTTTAGTTACTTATTAGGACTCTGAATTGACTTGAAACAGGTGTTAATTGAATCGGCCGTGATTTCAAGTTGATTTTGAATGGATTTCGAATGAGAATTTAATTAGATTTCAATTGCTTTTGCCGCCGTGTTGAATGGTTTTTCGCGGCTTTATTACATTCAATCGGTCTTGTTCGATTTTTTTCGATCTAAGTAGATTTCACTAGGATCCTACCATGTTCACTGGAGTATATAGAACAGAGGGGATAGGTTTAAGGGCCCATACAACTCCCATAAACAACTCCTATCTCCACTTCGTTTTCCCTCTGATTCTAAAGCATAACGGGTTGATGGCACCTATATGAGCCCAAGCAAACCCTGTATAACCCCTCAGCTGCTATTTGCATTACTTTTTCCATTTGCTTTTCCTTTTGATTCTCCATCATTAGGGTACCATCCCTGCCCTTTACACCCCGAATGAGTCTTACATAATTCGAGAGCACATGCAAACCTTACATGTAAGTCCGAAAACCCTCCCCTAATTATGTGGCCTCTGTATGCAAGCACTCAGCCACAGAACAGCACATCCTTATGATCGGTTCCTAAGCAAGGGTTCAGGGTTTAAGGCTCAGGGTTTAGGATATAGGAGGTACATGGACACGTGCCTCGAAGCAAACATGGAGGTATATGGCGTTTGTAGCTATAGTGGCTATATAAGAGGTATTCGCCAAAAGTAATCACCATCATCCGAAGGGACCGAAAGGAACAGAGGAGCCCTAGCAAAAACACCATCACGAACTAGGAGGATGTTTATGCACCCGTAGCGCATTTCATCATGAGGCGCAAGCGCAGCAAGCGCTGAGCCCTAAACCCTCATGCCCGAATAATTGGGTTGCTATTAAGGAACTCAAATTAAGTTA